CATCAACAGATAAGAGACAACCTACAATGTGGGAAAAATTTTTACCAGCTGCTCCTCAGACAAAGAACTACTATCTAAAATATATAAAGAACTCAAAATAACCAGCCCCCCCAAATATAAAGACCCAATTAAAAAATGGGCATCTGAAATGAACAGACATTTCTCAGGCAAAGAAGTAAAGGCAGCAAGTAAATATATGAAAAAATGTTCCACATCACTGAGTCATTTGAGAGATGCAGATGAAAACAACACTGAGATTCCACCTCACCCAATAACCAGCCCCCCCAAATATAAAGACCCAATTAAAAAATGGGCATCTGAAATGAACAGACATTTCTCAGGCAAAGAAGTAAAGGCAGCAAGTAAATATATGAAAAAATGTTCCACATCACTGAGTCATTTGAGAGATGCAGATGAAAACAACACTGAGATTCCACCTCACCCCACAAAGAATGGCTGCTATCAAGAAATCACACAATACCAAATGTTGGTGGGGTTGTGGGGAGAAAGGAACCCTTCTCCATTGTTGGTGGGAGTGCAGACTGGTGCAACCACTATGGAAATCAACATGGAGATACCTCAAGGAGCTGGGACTAGAGGTTCCATTTGACCCAGCCATCCCCCTGCTGGGTATCTTTCCAAAAGAATTAAAGGAATCATACCACAATGATATATGCACACCTATGTTTATAGTGGCACAGTTTGTAATAGCTAAAACTTGGAAACAGCCCATTTGCCCATCAGTTGGAAACTGGATAAAGAAGATGTGGTTTTTCTATAAAATGGAATACTATTCAGCCATAAAGAATGAGAAATGAGATTCATTCATAGGAAAATGGATACAAATTGAGGATATACTCCTAAGTGAAATAAATAGGTCACACATGTATAAATACCAAATAGTTTCTCTGGTGTGAAAAGCTATAATAGTACATAAGAGCCTAAGGATATAATTGACAATGTGAAATAGGAAGAAAAGGGCTAAAGGTGTAGGGAAAATGGGAAGGGTAGGGGAAAGGTGATAAGGGAAAAGAAAAAAATATGAGAAAATGAAAAAATGGAAACAAAGTGTTTGTAAATGGGGAGGGGAGGAGGGCGTGAAGGGAGGGCATGGACAAGGGGGAAAATGAGAACCAAGACCTGTCATGTAAAGGTATATATGCCTGCTGACTCTTTCCTCTCTGGCACTGCTGCCCGGCTCTCACTCCCCACCTACTAGGAGTTGAATAGCTTTCCTCTGCCACACTCTTTCCTTTTGCCCATTTATTCTAATCTACCATAAATACCTACTTACCATCACCCCAGAAATTCTGTAGTTATAAACAGTTCCTTTCAATTGGATCTGTTCCCCTCGTACAACAGAATATGGTATATTCATTTCCAAAAAGACATCTTTGAACACCTTTGCCTTGAGAGTATCAGCAACACATATACCTTCAGCCCAAAGGAAAAGCAAAGAGGATACATATTAGGGAATTCCTGCCATGTTTTATTAGTATTAAAATGTCTTACAGTAACTGTACTTAAGGACAAAAGAATATTAGATCATGTTTTTCTCTCTACTGTAACCTCATGACCCTTGAATTTTTATATTGATCATTGATCTTTATTTTTATACTTATTGGTGTGTATTAGCAGAAAACTTCATTTTTCCAATAATTATTTAATTCTATTTAAGGCATGAGAATGCTTATTATCTGAAGTACCAAATCTTTTTGTACATCTATTATTGGCTCCATTTAAGGAGTATGAATTTTTTATTTTAGAAACCGAGATTTTTGTGAAAAGAAAAACAGTGAACAAATGAAACCAACCCTGAAGTTACTTATAAAGTGTCTTCATCAAGCTGCCATAAAGAGGTCATACATAGTTTCTAACTTTACTCAACCTCCTAGTCACTGAAAAAAGTGAAAGAAAATAGGGACTTGACACCAGCTGTAAAATGACAGTTAAATAAAAAGAGCAAATGAAATCAATAGGTTAAAATATGTGGGTATATCTAAGTCATGTTTATACGTAAAGAATATGTTTAAAAATAACATCACTTAAATTCTGAGAAACTAAAGACATAATAGCAAAGAACTACACTTTGCTAATCAAATCACTGCTTAAATCAGTGTATAACCGAAGCTTTCTTACCGCTGTTTGAAATGCCAACACCTTGAATTTCCCAGGTGGTTAGAGAATCAGGAAGCACTAACTGCAATTGACTTCTGGAAGTTAAAATGTTGATATTCAAATATGGTTAAACATTACTGAACCCAACATGACAGAATTTTTGCTTCAATCTACTTTAGAGGAAAGAAGGAATCACAAGACAAAATCATGTCAGCTATTAAGAAAAATCTGATTAAGAAAAATGTAGTCAGCAACACTCATTTATTCCATGTTTTAAATGCTACACCTGGGAGGTAGAGGTAAGGGGAAAAAATGAGAACCAAGACCTGTCATGTAAAGGTACAAGATCTCAATGATGAATGTAACTGTACTGTATACCTAAAATGTACCAATACACTCAATGAGAAAAAAATATAAATGCTACACCTGTAAAGTGAATATTTAAGTTTAGCCGGATGCCTTTGAAACATTGCAAAGGCAAAGCATAAAAAAACAAAGAAAATTTTTGTTTATCGTTATGTTCTAAACTAGGGACACAAAGTAACACGTCTTGATACTGCTTGGAGAAAATTGATGCAACTAAAATTTCTGATTAGGATTAAGTTTGTGTATTTTCTTTACAACTGTGGCCCACGAAGTGTGTCAGGCAGAGTGACAGATACTGAGTGTATAGCACTTAAAAGTGATAGTCCTGCTCTCAATCAGTTTACAGTATAGTGGAAGAAATAGTTCAGTGAATAAATTGGACTTCACTATAACAATTGTACCAATAAAGCATTAAAGGGGTGCATAGGCAGTGTGTACTCAATCAACACACTTACTTTCATGCTTTTACAAGTAGGGTCCTAGGCCAGATCCTGAATATAAAACAGTAATCTGAATTTAGTTTTGCCCTCAGGGTATTTACATTTTAATGAAGAAGACAGGCAAGAAAACAGCCCAGTGAAATACTCTGGGATATCCAAAACAGGGCTACTGTAATTGGGAGGGATAAATCAATCTAATCCTCAGTAGGGTGGGAAACAGTGTTGGGAAATTTTACCCAAGGTGCTGGTTAATAAACACTGTCAAGTGAAACAGAAGAATAAGAGGGGCCAGGGTGAAGAAGAAGACTTGTGAGAAAACTACCTTAGAAACCAGTGGTTTGGGCTCATATAGAAGGTGGGAGGCTTGGAGACTCAATATTTCTTATTATTGTTTTCAGGCATTCCATCAGCAAGTGTCAAATAAAAGACTTTAACAAGAAAATAACCTATTTGTTTATCAGTGTTTGTTTCATAGTCCAAATATTTGTAACTTAACCTTTTTGTAGTATATAGCACATTAACTGTATACAATAAATACATACTAAAGTGAAATGAAATTAAATGGAATAGTACTGTCCTTTACCAATAATTAATGTTGCTCTGGAACCAATTTCCAAAGCAAAGTGCATTAAAAAGCAAAATCATGAAGCAAAACAAAACAATATTTGCCTAAATTTTTGACTTTTAAACATCATAACTCTTAAGCAAACTGTGGGGAAATGTGTAGTGTCCAGATTTTTGGCCACAGTTGCATTTTCCACATTTTATTTTAGAGAAATGTCAGAGAAATATAATTACCTTGTGGGAACATGGTGAACTTCCCATAACCAGCTCTCTGGAAAGTAGCTCCGAATTTCGGGCTTGGTTACTGATAATAGAGTCTTTATATCTAGAGAAAAAAGAAAACATATTCAATTATGGAAAAACAATATAAAAAGTACCTATACATGAAATTTTAAATATAGCAATTAATCTATGAAATTTTAAATCTAGCAATTAATCTATAACTTAAATGTTGTTGGAAATGTCAACAAAACATTGTGTTCACTGATTTCAAAACAGAATTATAAAGACCTTAGGATTTCTTTACTAATAGCACTGGTTAAACAAAGCATAAAATATATAAAATGATTTGTTTCTCAAAGTTGAATTTTTAGTATTCCCGAGGTTCTACAAGATACTGGCAAGTCTGTGGAATTATTTGCACTTCTGTAATTTTAGTAATTGTGCTTATATTAGAAAACAGGGAAGTTATATATGATACCCTGCCTTAAATTGATCATTTATTTATATTTACTTTAATAGAAATGGATAGGAATGCCGCTTTCTGGCCAGAGATTTAGCTCAGTGGCACCATGCCTGCCTCGTTAAGCATAAGGTCCTGAGTTTGATTCCCCCATACTGAAGAAAAAAAAAATTCTGCTCCCATCTAAGATGAACTAATAGGAACTGTATTTATCCCGTAGCCTTAAGAAACCTAGAAAACTAGACACAATCTATAAAACAAGAGGTTTTAGGGTGAATGAGGCAGTGCACATCAGCAATCTCAGCTACTTGGGCTCAGGATGACATCTGGTACAGAGCATTTGCTTAGAACTCACGAGGTGATGGGTTCAATCCCCAGTGCCAGAAAGGAAAAAATCAAAATGCAACCAATTTTCAGATGTTGGAGCACAAGCGACACAAGACTGTGATCCCAGAGACAGGGGAGCTCTAAAGTAGGGCCAGTTTACTGCCTGGGGTAGTTTACAGGCCTCAGCAGGGAGAACAGAGCCTGGTGGTATTGAACACTTCTGGCAGCACAGATGGGAGTTTTGGGAAACCACACTGTTTAGAATGAAGGGCAGGGTTACCAGAGAGAAGCACCAGGCAGCTGAAACCAATCAGACGATTTTATTTTTAAAAATGGGCAGTGAAAACATATATGGACTATATCGTTCATCAAAATACTGCTTGTACTAAATAAAAACTGGGAAATAAGTGCTTGCTTTGGCCACACATATACTAAAATTGGAATGACACAGAGAATATTAGCATAGCCCCTGTGTAAGAATGACATGCAAACTTATGAAGAGTCTATACTTTTTTAAAAAGTGGAAAATAACATAAATATTTGTAATAACATGGTAGGTAAAACACCATCATAACATTTAGCCTTGCACAATGTATCCACTTTTTTTTTAGTTTGTCCTTTTTTATTAATACATATTAGCAATACATAATGTTTACATTCCTTGTGTGGAGTTAGTCCATGTACATAACAGTTTTGATTTGTTTTGTTTTTTGATTCTCGGGACCTTGTGCTTGTGAGTTAATGGTGACACCACTAAGCTAAATCCCGGGCCCTACATAACATATCTTAATTCCTTTTTTCATCCCCTTTCTCTCCTCTTCCCTCCATCTCTAGATCCCCTTCCTATTTGAGAAACATCTGTCTCCCTACTTCTTATTATCTATCTTTTACTTTGCTCTCTATTTATAGTTTGGGTTTCTTATGTAAGAGAAACCACACTCTAGAGTTTGTGTCCGTTATCTTTCACCTAATGTCATGGTCTCAAGGTGAATCCATTTCCCCACAAATGACTCAAGTTTTATCTTTATGTCAGGCTAGTCCACTACTGTGTGTAAATACCATATTTTCTTTAACTATCCATCCATTTTGGGAAAATGTTTAACATACATGGTTTAGTAAAACAATCAGAACAAAAACAGAGGCTCTTATCTTGCTTTTGTCTCTCTCTTTTTTTTAAGGTTAGCTGCTTTTGTTTGTTTTCCTAAACAAACAAAAGAAGTCCTAAATGATCTGAAAACATTAGGGAGAGTTCTCTAAGCTCTGAAAACATACTGTGGCTAAAACTGAAACTAGATCTTAACTTTTGTAAGAAGTACACTCAATCTCATGGTAGATTTAGAAGTCATTTGCGGTATTTAGTTAGCGTAGATATAAGCTGAATTTTTAGTGGTTGTAATATCACAGAACCATAGCACGCTGTAACTCAGAGGCACTCTGGAAATGTCTGGTCTAAACTAAGAAGCTTGAAGCTCAGAGAGGATAAATATTCATTCAAGTTTATAGAATGAATTTGCTTTAAGTTTACACTGTGTCTTGATCTGGGCTAGTAGCCTTTGCTGTGTATTATACCTCTTCAAGTTCCCCCAAATACTAACAGGTTGTTCTTATGGACATTTACAAGTTATATTTTCTACTTTCAATTTTAACTAGAACATAAAATCTTTCTTAGCAGAAGAAAACTGAACAGAATCCCTCACGTTGTGTAGAAGTCTAATAGAAAATGTGGTGCTTACGTAGCCTTCCCAACTGGATAGGTTTAATAGGCTGTTTAGCTCGGATCTTGTCTGCAAGGATACAACATTCATTGAAAGCTTGGATACAGCGTGGGCCTATGGTGACTCGTGCAACTCGCGTCTCACAGCTTTCGTGGTCATTTCGACGGGCTCCATCTAAACAACATCTTCTGGGCACCGGATGTTTGTATTTAGCCGCTGAAACGGTAATACATGTGCCTTGCTTATGCATGGAGTTATAATATCTCAGGTTTAGGAGGAATCACAAGGGATACTTGGTTTCTACTGACAACCAGTGCCTTTATCTACAAGGACCAGACTCTCCTTAGAACTACTCTAGGATTAGGAAGAAAATGACCTCATCATGTACTCCCTTCCAATTCACCCTAAATGATAAAGGGCTTCTTGCAACTAAGCTAAATACTAACTTTTCAAACTGATACTTTAGCTTCAGAATCCTCTGGGTAAAGCAAATGTCCAGGAAGCTTTCAAGTATTTGAAGATGCCTCTCATTACATCATGGACTTTTTTTCTGTATGATAAATAGCCTATTTTTTCCAAATTTTTCTTATAAGACATAGTTTGTAGACCTTTGCTACTGCTATCATTCTTCATTGTAAGTTCTCAGATTAATCAGTCTTTCCCTTTTCATCTCAGGAGAGCATCAGATGAAGTTTAGAATTTCAATAATTCCTATTCAAATGGAAGAAGTTATTATATTTATATAAGCGTGATTACTGACTAATCTCAGGACATAGATTCCCAGATTTAGTGCTCTTTTCTATTGGTCAATTATCAATAATTTTAAAAACTTGCACTAGACCTATCTCCAAAGAATAATCCATAATGCTATAAAAGGTTAAATATACTAAAAAGAAAAAATCAATTTCTAATATTCCCCAAAGTTAATTAAATCATGGGTTTTGTCATTATGAAATGGAAGAATATTATTTTAATATTTACATGAAGTTTGCAGAGAGGAAATATTTGTGGCAACTAAAAGTTAATATTTTAGATTTTAGAGGTAGGCATAATGAAGACTTATTTATCTCAGATTAAGTCTTTGGAGAGTGAACAACTGGGTTTGTTTGTTTAATCCTTCTGAGGGAGCTGAGCTAGAGCTCCACACATCTTTCTCCTCATCTATTTGAATTAGGGGGAATTATATAATGTTTAATTTTCTACAACTTTTGAATGCTATTTTCAAAATTTTTTTAACAATCACATGAAAACTTTGGAGTACCTTGTTCTTGTATTTTCTCTTGCAGAGTTCTTCTTGGCCTGAGAATTTCTTTACAAGGTTTATCTGTTTAAAAAAAAAAAGAGAGAGAGACAGAGTTATAGAAAAAAGGAAATAAAATCTAAAAAAATTCTGTGCAATTAAATATTAAAACATTTGGAAGCCATTCATCCAACAAGGCCATATTGAGAAGCGGCTCAGGTTAGGTGTTATCCACTATACATGCTAATATGATGCGTTTTGTAGTAGTGGAGCTCGTGCTCTAGTGTCATATAGTTTGATTTGTTTTATTTGAATTTGGCTCTGAATCCTGCAACCTTTCTGATCCTTTGACTACAGAGAAATACCTAAACATTTGTAGTGAGCAAATTTTTGGTTAATCTATTTTTCTTACTTGCTCTTTGAGCTATATTATTATAGATTTAAAAAAAGGAATACCAGCGTACCATGTATAATTAGGAAGAATTTTAAAATCACAGAAAGAAAGTGATTAAAGATGTGACCCTTGCCCTTGAAGGGTTCCTAGGGCTAGGTATGCGACAAGATCTATAACCAAGTGTAAGAATGTGCAATAAGGTACACTCCTTATGAATCCATTTGGTCCCTGCAGTATCCTCCCTTTTAAAGGGGTGGGGACAGTGATCAATTGTATGGGAAAGAGGCCTCATAGAGGAGACAATACTTATCCTAGTCTCTCCAGGCTAGCAAAGGGTAAAGCAGTCCTGATACATAAAAGCTCAAAGGTATAAAAGAACTACAGAAGAGCAAGAAAGAGCAGAGTGAGAAATAACTGGAAAGAGCCAGGGAGAAGTTCATGAAGGGTTTGATTATGACATTAAAGAATATGTACTTTATCTTTAAGGTCAATAAAAATAATTTTTACAGGGGAGTTACACTGTCACAGAATTGTAACATCAGTGTAGAGAATATTCTGGAAGAGGGAAAAAATGAGGTCCAGAAGGAAGATGAACAATGCAAAGTGAATCTAATCATGTACCGCAAAGATGTACTAATAAACATAAAATAACAAAAAGTTGAGTGTTTCACCATTTTCTTCGGACTCATCTGCATTTGCATTGGTGATGAAGGTGAGTCCAGCTAGATGGAATACATCTGCGTTGTCACGGCCACCACCTGCCCCACAGCCCAGGTCACTCTTCTCGAAAGCTTGAAATACCTGTCCAGAAAAGCAAACTGTTAAACTTATTCAAATATTGTGAAAGTATTTCTCCACAGAGCTAAAGGTATTGGACATTACATGGTTATAGTAAGCCTGTGAAATACACAGGACATTCATTTATCAACTGACCAAAGACCAAATTTCCCAACTTCATTCCTTTAGTTCGTCTTTTGTATTTATAACAACATACCTACTCACAATTAAATCAAAAGTAAATTTTAATTTAGTTTAATTTTTAATTTCAAGCAATATCATTGAGAAGCAAATTCTTAGAAACTGACCTATTAACCTTGTCAACCTGACTGCCTTGAGAGAGGCCTAAGAGACAAGTAAAGCACACTTCTGGGTGTGTCTGTGTGGGTCACAGAGCTGTGACCTTGGGGAAGATATCTGGTTGCCTGGTCCCTTTCTCTCAGGCTTTTCTCCTGCTCTCTGATTTTAGGATGCCATGAGTTGAGCAGCTCTTCTCTGCCCATCCTTTGTGCCATGATGCTTCTGTCTTGGAGTGAGGTGGACATGGATGGAAACCTCTGAAACTATGAGCCAAAATAACCCTTTTCACCTTAAAATTATTTGTGTCAGGTTTTTTTGTGCTAGCAATGAGAAAACTGACCAATACACCTGTGGTGTTTGTACATAGAGTACCTGCTGCAGCCAGTGTAATAAACAAATGAGTAAAGGAGTGAAAACATAAAGAGTGAATTTAAAAATTAAGTTTCAAGTTGCTAACTAAAAAGAGCATGATCTCTTATGTTTTTAGGGGAGGACACTAAGTTCTTAGTGGGAGAAGCCCTTTTATACAGGGCTTCTTTCAGTTTTAACTTTGACCCCAGTATCCTCTCCTCTCTGAATGTTTTCACTATTACAGTTTCTCATTTCTTTTTACCTTGTTCAAAGAAAATACTAGTCTAGAAAAAAGTAGCTGAGTGTAGTGGAAATAAATAGCAACCCAGGAAATTGAATATTTTTTACATTCTTCAGCACTATAAATTTGAATAAATCATTTAAACAAACAAACTCAAAGATATCCTACCCGGTCTACCCTGTCTTCTCTTTTGCTGCCTCTTTGACTGTCACCACCACATGTCTCAAATCCTTAAATTCTCCCAAAAAATGACAGTTTTGACCCATTGCTAGCATAATCCTATGTTTTTAAGGCTTAAATCCACATTTGGAAAAAACAAAAATGAGTTGACCTGTGCTGTAGGAACTAACAGGAGATTGCTTCCCATTCCAAAACCCACCAAACTGAGCACATTATAGAAAAGTGAGTGAGTGTTATTCCTTCACCAGTAACCTGTGCCAGAGGACCCTTTGCAAAGCACTGTCCAAAGCCACCCCACATCAAAGCAACTGCAGGACCGCATGACTTAACTCTTTGCATGGGCTTTTTGGCTTTTTCTTGGACTCCATACACAGCACTGTCCACGGCTGATAGCGCCACCCATGAGACTGACTCGGTTTCCATGTTAAGAGACACAGTTTGGCCTGGAGAATAAGCAACTGCATCTGGAGACAGATGAACCTAGTAAGTCAATTGAAACAGAAAAGATTCATATGAGACAAGGCTGTTCAGAAGCTGATGCTCTGACAGCCTCCTTCATTTAGAAGAAAATTCCGTTGTGATATATAATTTGTGCCTTACTTGCAGCTGGTTGCCACACTTTTCTTCAATATTCAACCAGACTGAGTCAGATACTAATTCTGCTGTCTGCTCTCCTGTAACGATGTAGTAGACCAAGAGTCGGGCTGAGGGGACCATATTCTGTGTCACTGGAATGTTTATACTTTGATAAGATGAATCTGGAAGTTTCTCCCTGGTGCCAAAGTGTACGATTTTGCCCTTGGACAAAATCTAAAAATAAACAGTGGTAGCAACAATAAGTACATAAATGAAACCTGTGCTTCAGGATGAAGCTGGGAGCTGGGGCAACAGCATGTTAAAGAAAAATAAAGTTGACTTATATATTTGTTCCTAATATTTGCCAGAAATTTTAACATTTATTTATTCTCACAAGACAGTAGTGGGATAGGAATGTTTGCCTCCACCAAAGAAACAGGCTCAGGAACTGACTAAAACTCATGCTGATTTTTAGTTCAAAATCATGTAACTAGGAAATTAAAGAGCTAAAATTTTATCCCATATCTGTTGAAAGTCAAACACTGTCATTAACACCTCCTTTGTTTTGTTGATTTACAAAAGCTAGATGAGTAAGTAGATTGTGTCTTATTTGGGGATTAAGTTTGAAAGCCATGGATTGAATTCTAAATTGGAAGTTTAAAGTTATACTAAAATCACACGAAGCCACGTGTCTTCAGAGCTCCTTGCAATTGTCCTTAGAGAGCAGGACTGCATACATGGTTTTGTACAGAGTCCATGGTCTCTCTACTTTTCATCAGTCAGTATTTTTCTATGATCCAAACTTATTTTTCTTTAATGTCTTTCTCAAAACTGTGGAAAAAGCCATCTCCACCTGTTTGGCTTGGCCATTGGAATAATTCACTCCACTTCTTTGGCACGTGGCAGGAAGCTGTTGATATTATTTGCACATCATTCCTATGTTCGCCAACAGGTTTGAGCAATCTACCTTCTGTTTAATGTAACTGCTGCTGACTGTAGAATTAGAACAGGTATGGTATGGCCTAATTCTTTAGAGCAGGATTTGGGTCCCTGCTTTTATGCCAGTGAAGTACACATATTTGAACTAGATGTGGGCATATAATCTTTGGCCATGTTAATACATCAGAGATAGCGTGAGTCGATCAGGCTCTCTCTGGTGGAAGGAGTTATTAGATCAAGCAGTTAGAGGCCCTCAGTTCAAATCAAAATCTTCTGAACTAACTGATCCTAGTGAGACCTGAAATTTCTTTGTCCCTCAGTTTCCTCCTTTGTGAAAAATGGCTATAAAAATCATGCCTTTCCTCAACTCTGGAAAGCTTGTATTCAAATAGATAATGCCCTTGAAAGTGTTGTATAAATACAAATATCAGGACTCAGTCTAATGTTTGCCAAAAAATGACAGGAACAATGAAGGATAAGATTATTATTGGACTTACCAAGTAATTATAGTGAGCTATTTTGTCAATATATGGACTTTTAGGAGTAACAATGACATTCAAATGTTCTCCTACAAGCAAAGCTTTGTAGTTTTTAGTCCAGTCAATATAAAGGTAACTTTCACTTAGAGACGAGTATGCCACAGCTTGGTAATCTTTCTGGGCCTGATTTTCTTCTGGAAGATCTGGGGCATCAGTTCGGACCTGAGAGGGAAATTTTCAAAAACACACCTGGATTGTGAGTAACACTTTTTGTAAAACATATTGTTTAAATTCTCAGCCTTACAAATTTCTCAATTTTACAATATAAAATGTTAAAGGCCAAATCCCCACTCCATTACTCCAGTGTTTGTACAGCTGTGATATCAAGTAACATGACACAACTATGGAAAATAATAAGAGGATTTTTACGGGCTATGGTTGGGAAGCCTGATGGAGAGAAAAGGATGCTCTAGAAACAAAAGCTAGCAGTCTTCCTGAAACAACACTGGATGTTCCCTCCCTGGGGGATGGGATACAGGAATTGAGGATACAAGAAGGGAGGTAGTTCTACCTCTTGAAGCAAAGGAGTCATGAATGAACTATCCAGGCTGGTTTCATTGTGAAGTGTCAACACAGGAGTGTGTATAAACACAGGGTGGGCAGATACTGATTACTGGAGAACAGTACCTGCTTCTGGAAAGCAGAAAGGTTATTGGATTGTGGTCTGGAGTCAGATATGCACGGGTTTGCATTCTAATGCCAACCCTTAGTGTTTGAATAAGTTATTTCATCAAAAGAAAGGTTAGACACCTCAGTTTCTTCAGCCCCAAAAGAGCAAACATAATATTCTTTAACTCATATTGCTGAATAAGTGGGTATTAAATGTGTTCCTGATAAAGCTCATGGCACAGTGGCTAAGTATTTATTTAGTAAGTTCTTGGTGAGTGATGGTAACTATATGCATGCTGTAGTCGCCGACCTGCATTATGAACTTACTTACATTTTACTTGAGTTTGGGAACTTAAATACTTCGTGCTGGGAGAGAAGGCGATTAAATAAGCTGTAAGGTAGAGTGGTTTGTGCACTGGAAAAAGAAGGTAGGGTTCTACATTTGACCCTCTCGTGGTCCTGACAAGTGTGTGTGTATCGGGAGGTATTCCTACCACTGTCCTCAGTTATACTTAATCTGAAGCTTTCAAATTCTAGAACAGTCTTACTGATGTAAGAGAAAATACTTAATTCCCAAAGAAAAACTGATCGATCTGTCTTCCTTCAAGGTCACTCAACAGATTAGCAGATCTGCTCTGGTACTCATTATTTTAAATGTAAGACTGTGAACCGTTTGTTGGACTCACTTCTAAACTCTGCCACATCTGTTCTGCACACTAGCCAAAACATACAGTCAAGAGTACACATCGTCCTAGAAAACACAGCAGGAGAATTCAGCTCACACGAAACTCCAGCGCCACCACTCCAGATGGGAGGTTAACCACAAACGAAGCCACTCCATCACTGAGACTTGATTCACTTTTCTTGGGTTCCAAGTCAGATGTCTCTTGGTTTGCAGCAACTGTTTGTGCATTCAGGATGACTGGGACCCCTCCTACCAATTGGTCCAGTGAATCCTTGACCTGTACCTGTTTGCAGAACAATGCAAATCCATTTCAACAGTTCATCGTGTCTTTTAAAGCATAACAGCTCTGAAGTGGTCCTCCTTCCTCTGCAGCAAAATATAATTTATTACATATGAATATGAATGGATGTATACTGTCAACTGGTAGAAAGGTTCAATTTCTATTTAGTTTCATCCTTCTTAACAGGGTGCTTTCATATATAAATCAGACTCAGATATAAATTGCATCCTGTCAGCCAAAGAGATGTGACAAGATCTTCTGCTACCTAATGGCTGTGTTTCTTTAATTATCTTAGCATGCAGTAAAGGAGAAAACAAAGCAATTGCTTCTGGTAATGATTTTTTTTTCATGTGAGAAACAATAAATTGACATATGTTCTCTTTTAACCTTTACCTCTCACTGTGCATATATATATATAATCGATGTGTAATTTCCACAGATGTTCTTTATATATTTTAGATGTGATATAAAATTATATAAGGGTATTTCAACTTTATATATATTATTATGCATTATATATTTATATATTACATTGTAGATTACCATATGCATTGTATGATACTATCATGTATTATATATTTGTATGCATATATAACATGTATATATATTACATACTTGTATGTAAAACATTAAAAGCATATCCCAAGCTTATTTTATGCTTGGTAAATCTTTTTCTCTTAAAACCCAGGGATCCACTGTAAATAGTAAATGACACATATTAACTATAGTCATCCCTCTGTATCTATTGGAAATCAGCTCCAGAACCCCTCTAACTGCCAATAGCCAAGGGTGCTCAAATCCCTTATATAAATGGCATGATATTTACATGCAATCCACACATATCCTCCCTTACACACTTAATCATCTCTAGATTACTTAAAATAACTAACATGATACAAATGTTATGTAAAGAGCTGGCTTTTATATCATTTAGGGAATGATTTCAAGGAAAAAATCTGTACATGTTTAATCCATGGTGGCAAAATTCACAGCTACAGAAACCATGGAATATAGAGAGCTGACTGTATACTTAGGCTGATTTTTATATATTTTTTTGTTACCGGGGATCAAACTTGGGTCCTTGTACTTACAAGGCAGGTGGCAGCACCACTGAGCTAAATCCACGGCTAGGCTGATTTTTAAAGCAACATGTTTTCAAAGAATAAAAAATAATCATAAATTTCTAGGCTTTCTAAACTAAGGGTAGAGAATACAAATTTCCACTTCATAAGTGCAATAAAATGTAATATGTAAATTGATAATAAAATACTTAATACAATCATAAATATAAAGATACAATAAATTTAATGGATGCTTCAAATCAAAAGTAGAGGGGCAGATAACAATTAAAGAGGGAAAAGGAAGCAAAAGAGGTATAAAAAGAGAGTCAGGGATGGAAAGAACCAAAATGGAAATGACAGAGAGCCAAAGAGACACGGACAAGAGCCCAGAATTCCGCACAAACCGTACAGAGACAAATCAGAAAAACCCAGAAATGTGTCCTCAGAGATACTGAAGAGGTTAAAAAAATAGTGAGTGAGAAAGGAGTCTGCTTTTAAGAAATGGTGTCTCTAGCTTAAATACTACTTGCCACCAACTAATGTTAAATGTTAGTAGTTTTTGCATTGTGGACATGTGAGGTTTTATTTACACATAATGCAATGGGAATGCCCAATAGAAAGCTATCTTACTGAATAGTAGCACGAGCCCTGTGGGTACAGATCACCTGCAAGGCTGAAGGTGGCCTGCCCACATCTCCAGGAGGGCAGGCCTCTCAAGTAGAGTCTCTTCTATGATTGCCTCTCCAGCAACTTTCTCCCATTTGCTATCTCTGTGTTTTCAATATACAGAAAAAGATCAGCAAGTTCAGCATTCTCTCCCCACCCCCACATCCCCATACCTTGATGGAATATGGAATCCCAGGCTTTAAGAAAAGAGGAGTAGCGACCAAATTCAGTGTGTACGGAGAGAGAACATATTTGATGCCAGGTATTTCTGCCTCTTCAGAAAATCCACCTACGGAAACAAAGAGCACCGTGTTAACATTTTTAGAAGTCTGATGATGGGCCCAGTATCTACATTGAATCTACGTCTCCACAGACATCTGTTCATCAAGGGTGAGGAAAGGAAACGGGTGGGTAGGCCAGAGTCTGAGCCTTATATGTCTTCACTGCTAGGTTGCCGGGAAGTGGACAGAAGCTGCGAACAACCAGGAGAGCTTGATAAAGAGAGACCCCTAAGGGTCCATGAAAGAAATCATAGCAGTGTAACCCTATGGCTGAAAATTGAGTTGAACGTATAACATATGAAGCTCTAGTCTCCCCAAACTCCTTCTCAGTATTACATTCACAACATTTCCTGGACATGTCCTGTACTGCAGGACCAAAGTTGAATTTCACGAAGACCAAAGCTGAATCACCTCCCTCCTTGTTGTAGAAGGAGCCCCACTATTCTTGCCTCCAGAGCCGCTTCACTGATCATCTTTGCAACACCATTCTTGGTTATTCAACATCAACAATCAGAAGCTTACTTTTCTCTGAAGAGCAATAGCATTAAGCAGTTGCTTCAAGCACAGGGTTCCTTGTCTATTGCCTTAAGACTGATGCTAGTTCGTAAACCACTTGTGTGCTGGAACTATTCATATTTGTAAGCCTGTGAAAAAGCCCAGGTAACCTCTGAAAAATCTCATGAATACTGCTTAAGCTGAATTTATTTGAAATAAAGTTGTGGAACAGAAGTCAGAAAGAAATATTAAATAATTTTGAAAACAATAGCTAGCAAGGAGTCACCATCACTCTCCATCATTACTGGACACTTGGTTTATGCAAGGTGCTCAGGAATTGGATAATTAACCCTGATTCTTCATTCTGCTACCATGGAAGGACAAATTTAGAGCAGTGAAAAGGGTCTTAGGAACCATCTGTGAATTTCCCAAACAAATTGAGATCAGCATCGTTAAACTATGTACTCAAAGTTAGTTGGGGGTTCAATATAAACCTGAAAATATATTAGTAGCCACGATATACTAGGAGTAAAAAAGTGACCTGTAATAATTAATAACTATTAAATAATTAATAACTACTAAAATGCAGTAATAATAACTATGAAAAACCATTGGCATGAGTTTTAGAGCACTAGGTGAGCTTAAGTATGCTAAGAAAGTAGTAGGTGGCCCCTTGGGAAAGAGCAGGGAAGATGAGGAAGAAGAAAAGAAGAAAAAATTGGCCAATACACAGCAGTCACTACATGCGACAGGTGCTGTTTAAATGCTTTGCATATGTTCACTCTTTGATCCCCACCATGACCCTATAAGTTACAGACTATTATTGTGCTCACTTTAGAAACATTATTACCTACTTTTAGATAGAATTCTTCCTTTTTTTTTTTTTTTTTTTTTTTTTTTTTTTTTTTTTTTTT